CTGAGGCCGTGCCCCGGGAGCTCTGTTGGGAGTGGTAGAAAACGGGGGGCACCAGCACACCTGCCCTCGGGTTCCTTTGGTGACACCTGGTCCGTGTGCCTGTCTCCCTCACAGTTGAAAACTGGACACTTTTGTATGTATATTATAGATACACTGTTTCCATTCTAATTTATCAAAAATGGATTATCTTTAGAAGTTTCTTGATTGACTTAATACTTAGAAGGTAAAGCACTTGGTGACTGGGAGAGGCTCCGGCTGGGGTGGGGGCGTCCGTGGTAAAGCAGCTGCGTGTGCACCTGTCTCTGGGTTAGGAATGTCTTGACTCTCTCTTTAGCCACGCTGTGCTCCTGTAAATAGTTGCTCTACTTTGCAGTCGGCACAGCTGCCTCCCAGAGGCCAGGGGCAGCACTGGCGGCCCTGAGGCCTGACGATGGGAGTCGGGTGTGGGAGATGCTGCCCCTCCCCTCTACACAGCTGGCAAGGGCCACCTGCCTGTCAAGGACCCTGTTCTTTGAGTCAGTTATTGCCTGTAATGTAATGTGTGTGGTGAAGACAGAAGTGAGTTGGTGTGCAGGGAGGCTGTGGAGGTCCCTCCCTCCCTGGGCCCCACCCATATCCAGCCTGGACCTGATTCCCCGCCAGCCAAGACACCAGAGCATGTTCTGGGGCTCCTTTTATTAGACTGGGTGGCCACGGCCAGCTCTAGGCAGGCTGCTCCAGCTCCATAAGGAAGCCGTCGATGACATCGTAGAGGCTGTTGGCGCTGGACAGGCAGAGGCTGAGGCTGCTGCTGTCCAGCGAAGACACCCCCTCGCGCTGCGTGCCCTCCAGGTACACTCGGCACAGCCAGGGCTCCAGCTGCCGAGGGCATCAGGCGTCTGTCAGTGGGCCTGGACACATGGCCGCCCCTCCCCGAGGCTCTGGTCTCACCTTCACCAGGACCAGGCTCTTCTCCTTGGGTCTCCCAGCTGACAAGTCCTGGCCGAAGCCCAGGTAGATGGTGCAGTGTGGGGAGCTGCAGCGGCGCCGTGCCCGGAATTCCACCAGCTCTGCAGAAGGAGGCTCTGCTGAGTACCTGGAGGCAGCTGCTCCCCAGGATCCCTGGAGACAGCACCCCAGGCAGGGGCCCCACTGACCTTGGAAGAAGACTCTGAAGTCAAAGATGGGGGTGTCGAAGTTGCGAGGCAGCAGACAGGCTGGGGTGGAGGGGCTGGCGGAGCCTGGGGGGCCGCCTACCTCCCAGTATACCTTGCACTTGCCCATGCGTCGCGCCCACAGCTGCGGCCCCCGGAGTTCCAGCTGCAGCCCCGGGGCCACGTGCCGCAGCAGCTCCTCCGTGTAGCGCAGCTGCTTCTGGTCCGGAAGCTCAGCAGGGCTGGGGAATGCCACCGGCTGGGGGTCTGTGGCCCAGATGGCTGGGCCTGGGGGGCCGTACAGGAACACACAGCTCGGGCGCCCCACCACCTGCTGCAGCACCATGCGGCCCTTGTAGGTGATGGTCACGTCCAGCACCCCTGGGCTGGGTTCTGCATGGAGACCAAGCTGTGAGTAGTGGGCGTGGGTGGGGACAGGCTGACCCCTTCCCAGGGTGCACTCACCTTCCACCACAGTGCAGGCACCTGGGGAATGGGCCACGTATGGCCCTGCCGGGGGCAGGGGCTCTGGGGCTGTGGCCTCGCCTATATCCAGAAGGAAATCTTGTGCTGGCACCTCATCCCCACCCCCTCCCTGTGCCCCAGGCCCCCCAACCCCTACCCCTCTCACCTGCCGTTAGGGCTGGAGGCTGGGGCCTGGGGGTCGCCTCTGCTGCCCATGTGTACAGCTCCTCAGCAGGGAGCCCTGGGTCTGAGGAGGGAGGAGGACAGTGGGAATGGGGGTCCCTTCCTGTTCTTCAGCTCCCCACTCCCCCTTCTCAAGCGGCTGTCCAGGGACACTGGCCCCTCCCATTCTCCCTGGGGCTCCACCCTCTCCTTGGCACTGCTCACACCTCCAGCACAGCCCCCAGTCGGGGAAAGCGCGTTCAGTCCCTCTCCAGGAGCCTCGGCTGGGCCTGGATCTGCCCCCCATGACGCTGTCAGCAGATGGCCCCCCAGGCAGCTCTGCAACACTGCCTGAAGCAGGAGGTCCTGCTGGTCCCCGGCTGGGGCAGGGAGGAGGCTTGGGGCTTGGAGTTCAGCATCTCCTTGTGCTAGGAATGGCCCTGGGGGCCCAGCCTGCGGGGAAAAGTCAGACTCAGCGTTGCGCGGCTCCCTGACCTGGGCGCGAGGAGAGGCAGGCAGAGAGGAGACTACCTGGGAGGGAGGGGCGGCCAGGGGGGCCTCTGCCTGCGTCCGGTCCGTGCCTGGGCCTTCTGAGGGAGGAGGGGGCAGGGGTTAGGCCCCGAGACCAAAGTGAGAGACACAGCCGGAGCCCGGAGCAGCCCTCACCAGCTTCCCGGCTGTGAACCCTTAGGGCTGCGGCCTGAGGAGGGGAGGCTCCCGGTCTCCTGGGGCTGCTGGCAGCCCCTCCCAGAGCAGCTTCTAAAACTGCACATCTGACCGGGAATGTGCCCCCTTCCCTACTTGGGATGAATGCCAGCGCCCTGGGCAGCCAGCGTCGCTGACCTCGGCAGCCCAGCTCCTGGCTGAGCGTGTACACCTTGTGGGGGTCCGCGGGGTCCCCTGAGTTGTCTTGCAGCATCACGAAGCGACGCGTGCTGTGCAGGGCGCAGCGGAAGTTGGTTTTCCAGCCGGCGCGCTCCGCAGCCTCGCAGGGCGGCTGGTCACCTCCGCTGCTGCCAGGCGGCCACCTGCCGCGGGCCACGGCCCAGGCCTGGAGAGGGGACAGAGGACGTGGGCCCGGCCCGGAGTCCTGGGTGCGCCCTCCCATCCGGGGCGGGGTCCCACCTTGAAGATGCGCGCGTCCGCCTCGCTCAGGTCCTTGCGCCCGAAGTGCTTCCAGGGCACGCGGAAGCGGGTGCGAGCCTCGTCCAGCCACCGCAGCCCCTCGTAGCGGCCGCTGCTGACCTCCCCAAGGAGCCACTCTCCGAACAGCACGCGTGGGGCCGTCCTGTGGGTGCCGGGCCGCGGGGAGTCAGGGCGGGCAGCGGGGCGCCCCGGACGGGCGCCTGGAGAGGGTGGGCGGGGCTCTCACCTCTCCGAAGCCCAGGCCATCGCTCCCTCGGCGGTCGGGTGTTCAACGGGAGGGTGACGCTCCAGTCGCTGCAGAAGGCAGGCCGCGTGGCCCGGTGTCACGGGGTTGGGGTCACAGGTGTGGACCGAGGGCTGGTGTGGCTCTCCCGGCAGAGGGGCTACAGGTGTGACTGCAGGTGTGGCCGGCGCGCACACATGAAGTCGCAGGCGAGAGGCCAGCGTCCAGGCCAGGCCGGCGGGTGCAGGCCGGGCCCTGCGGGGACGGGAAGGGCTGCGTCGGGGGCGGGCCAAGCTCCCGGGAAAGCGAAACCTAAACGGCGGGCGGCGCTTTCCCTCCCTCCCCGACCCACCCCCGTCCGGGTCTCACTCCGCGGAACCCGGCCTCCGAGTCTCTCCCCGCCCGACCCTCGTCCCTCGGGCTCCCCCAGCCCGGGACTCTTCCCCCTCGGGGGTCACGCAGCCCCCGCGGAGGCTGTTGCTCCCGGGTCCGCACCGCGTGGGCCCGGGGTCCCGAGTACCTGGTGCCAGAGCCGCTGGGACGGGAAGTTTCGTGTCGCGGGGAAGCGGGAGCCCGGCGTTTTTATGGGGGCCGGGCCGGGCCGGGGGCGGGGCCCGAGAGGCTGCAGGTGCTGCCGAAGAGGTCACGTGGCCGGGCGGGTGTTTCCGGGAAGAGCGCGCGGCCTGTTCCTGTTTTCGGAGGCGGCCCGCGGACCCCGCCCCGGGCAGCGCGGAGGGCGGAGCGGCGGGGGCGGACAGCGGTGGCTCTGCCTGCCCGCGTGGCTCAGCCCTGCAGGGTCCAGCAGCTCCTCCTCTGGGAAGCAGCCCCTACGCGCCTGGGGCGGGGGGTGGAGGACACAGTGGGATAAGCTGGGGACCCCACGTATAAGGGAAACGTGACCCCAGGCAAAATCAGGTCCTTTTTGCGCTTTGAGAAGTGGGTAATGGGTGGGGCCGGGCACCGTGTCTCATGCCTGTCATCCCAGCACCTTGGGAGCCCAGGGTCACCGGTCACTTGAGGTCAGGAGTTGGAGACCAGCCTGGCCAACACAGCGAAACCCAGCCTCTACTAAAACTACAAGAACTAGCCGGGCGTGGTGGCACGGGCCTCTAGTCCCAACTCCTTGGGAATCACTTGAGCCTAGGAAGTCGAGGCTGCAGTGAGCCCAGATCAGCGGACTGCGCTCCAGCCCCGGCGACCCAGCGAGACCAAGTCTCAAAAGGGAAGTGGGTAATGGAGGTGGATGTGCCTCGAAAGAGGGGCAGTGTCGCGTTTTTTGAGTTCCTTTTTCTGTTTTGTTTTGAGACGGCTCTGCAGGGTCCAGCCTCCTCCTCTGAGCGCTCCTGTCTCAGCCTCCTGACAGCTTGGACCACAAGCTCGAGCCTCTCCGCCCAGCTCATTTTTGTATTTAGTAGAGACGGGTTTTCACCATTGGCCAGGATGGTCTCAATCTCCTAACCTCAGGTGATCAGCCCACCTCGTCCTCCCAAAGTGCTGGGATTACTTACAGGCGCAGCCACGGTGCCGGCCCCGTTTGGGTTCTTGAGATTGTTCTGCCAAGAATATCAGATACTCTCTCAATTAAAACATTTGAAAAGGAATTAGTGGTGTCTTTTCATTAGGGAAAGTGCTGATGACTCCCAAGGGACCCCTTGATAGTTCTGGGCATGGGGCTCCGGCCGTAAGAGAAGTGAGGGGGCGTGTGTCTCACCCCCACCTGCAGTCCCTCCTGCTGGGCCCCACAGACTCGCCCACCCCAGCGCGCCTCAGTCCAGGCCTCTGGAGGGGCGTTTACTGCTGCACCCCAGCCCAAGCACGAAGATTTCAGAAGGAGACTGGGACCCCCTGGCAGGTGTTTGAGACCACCAGCATCCAAGCCCATCGTCTTATTGAGGGTTTGCGTTGGCTCTTCAGCCTCCCCCAGGCAGCCTCTGTGTCGGGTCGGGAGGAGGAGGTCCCCAGTGTGGGGCGGTCGGGTGTCCCCATCTCAGGCTGTGGTTAGAGCAGGGGAAGAACTTGCCGGGCCAGCTGGCCCAAGCCTGGGGAGGGCGCAGGAACAGCAGGTGGTTTACGGGAAGTGCTGCAGCACGCTTGGGGTGGGGACAGCCTGGTTGGACTTGCCACCTCCATCTGCACACCTGGGCTCCAGCACCGAGGACCATGGGGGACCTTAGCGAGTGGGGCGCCCCCCACCCCCCACAGACCCTGGTGCCCACCCCACGCCGCCACCTGGGTTTCGGGAGCCTCGATTTATTCTGCGTTGGGTCAGGGGTGGGGGGAGCGGGACCTCCAGTGCCCGGCTGGGGCGGAGGGAGGGGCCTCGTTAGATGTAGGTGGAGTCGTTTTCGGGCGCATCGTGGAGACCCCCACCCCACGCCCCGTCCTCGCCCTCGTCCTCATCGCCGCCGCTGGAGTCGCCTGTGCCATCCACGTCCGGGGTGGGCGCGTTGAGAACAACCACGTCCGCCTCCGCCCCGATGTCCTCACCGAACCACACGGCCTTGTAGCCGCCCTCTGGCCGTCGCTCCTTGGTCAGGATGGACCTCATGGCCACGGGGCTTCCCCCGCTGTGGGCCGCTGCCGGGGACTCTGGGGCAGAGCCGGGGGCCTCGGGGCCAGGGGCCTCGGGGCTGGAGAGCGAGGGGCCGGGCGGCATGAGGCTGGGGGTCGTGGGCTCCGTGAGGATCAGCGGTGTCTCCGAGGGCTTGGGGTCGTGCGTGGGGCTGGGCACAGGTGCCCAGGTGGCCTCGTGGTCAGGTTGGAATGCCGGGTTGTCAGAGCCGAGGGGCTCAGGCTCCTGTGGGCAGGGAGGGAGGGTGTGAGCGGAGTCCCTGGGCCTCTGGGTCTCTGCAGCCCTGGCCTCTCTACACCCTCAGTCCATGCTGGACCTGGACGCCCCCCCACACCTGCCGATCTGCCCTCCCCTGGCCGGTCTTCCTCTCCTGCCCCATCCTCCTGCCCTGCCCTCTGCCCTGGGCCTCACCGGGTCTTTGCCAGAGCAGCACTTGAGCCGGGGGCCATAGTGCTTGTGGACTAGGATGGCGAGGCCGAGGACAGCCAGCAGCAGCAGCGCGCCCAGCACCCCACCCAGGGCTGCCATGTCCACCACCGAGAAGCGCTTGTCCTCCGAGGGTCGATCACCCGGCATCCCTGCCAAAAACACCATCACCCCCACTGTTGAGTGCCCAGGGCCAACCTGTGCCAGGCTCGGGATGCCTGGAAACCACCCAGGCCTAGGCCGTCTCCCAAAGCTCTGGCTCTGCTGACCCTGGCTGGAGGGGGCTGCGTGTCCCAGTGAGACCCTGAGGGCCCCGGGGAGGCCAGGCTGCTCACAGGAGGCACAGGGGCTTGCAGGGAGAGCGGCACCCGTGGGAATCGTGGGAATCGCCGATGGCAGGTCTTCCCTGCACACATCACAGCTCGCCTCACTCTGGGTGTCTGTCAGTCCTGAACAGACCCCTCTTTGGGATTTCATGGTCAGGCCAGGCCAGCCTAGTGTCGCCCCTTCCCACAGTGTGTCCCGGACCACCCAGCGTCCTGAGTCGGGGAGTGAAGGGCGACTCCTTGGCAAACGGAGTGGGTGTTACCTGAGGACGCAGTGCTCCTGCTGACCCCGGGGGTCATCGGCTGAGAGGTTCCTGGGTCTGGGGTCTGTGCTGTGTCCCCAC